TCTTATGACGAAAACTTACATTTCGTATTAGCTTCCAGGGAAGAAATCCCTGGAACGCTGTGCCGCACCTTTTCACGCGCACAATCCGTGACTTATGTATGTCTCGTATCGAATCTTGTTCAGACTGACCAGACATCCCTTCATGATCAGTTGGTTGGTACCGCCCATCAGTGAGGATAAAGACACTGACTGTCAACCTCTCGGCAGCGACAGTTCTCGTAGTTTAGGCCAAATCGCATTGAAGTGTCACTAAGAATGAGATTCGAAATGGGAATCAACGTGTGGCCCTTCCCAAAAAGAAAACGAACGACGAAAGACGTATTTCGTCCTTCTGCCCTTTATCATGCTTTCAAAAGCTCTGTTGATACACTTCAAGGAAGCAACGTAATGTTTAGCGTTCGCCATGTGGCCCTATCAGATTTCAATATCTCACACCGCGGCTGATTTTAGCTGCAACGGGTGCCCAAGGATTTACGGCGAAAACGAACCCACTGCTGTTTTCAGGGGAGTAAGGGATAGAAACCAGTGGGTAAACTCCAAAGAAGCTCTGAATTATCTTGAATTGGGATCAACCGTCCGTCTGTTCAATTCGGACAAGGAAAATCATCTTGTGTGATTTTGGAGAGGAGGCTCATTTTTTCGCGAAATGGGGTAGCGTTTTTGGAAGACGTGAGAAGAGGAAATTTTCTGAGAATCTGAAAAGTTTTGCGAAATTTAGATAAACTTTCAAAAAAATGACATCTCAATAATTATGTGAAATATGAAATCCGGCTTAACACATTGGCGAAAGCCCGGTTGTCCGCGTATCTCGGCGACTTTTTAATTATTACTTTTATAATAGTCATTATTCCTTCAACAATTCCACCACTGGTAATTGGGGCACTGTTTTCGGGACAATATAATGCATCCAAACAGCTCTGTAATATGAAAACTGCCAAATAAGTCGAACAAAAGGAGCCGGATCCATGTGAAAATCTTACATGCATGTTGTCCTCAATGTGTTGAAGAACCTTGAGATTTTGGGCGCGAAGCAGTCAGCTCGTCAAGTGGTGCCAGGTTCGAATCTAGAAACAGGCATATGGAGCCCATTCAAATAGGACAGTCACGGTTGCCCTGCCCCCAAGTTGAGCCTTTCAAGAGCTGGCGGCTGAAAAAATGTTTGCAGTAAAGAAATGAGATCTGTTTTTAGCCCAATATCTAGCAGCTATATTTGCCTCGTTGTTCACCTGTGGAACTGTAGATATAAAAGCTTGGAAGCTATTGTACATACTTCTTTGCAGGCCAACAGCGTCACCTTCATTAGTTGGCAACAAGGACCGCTTTGGAGGGCTACTGGATGAGTATAGCAGCCGCCGTACGAGTCCTGCCCCTCTACACCCCGCTGTCTCTGTACGTACAGCCACAGCGATTTTCAAGTTCGACGCCAAATCACCAAGGTACCCGATTCAGCGTTTATTTGTTTTGGTCACTTGTACAGTAGTATCAATCATTATGCTGGCCTAGAAATATTAGCTCCTAATTTCTAATTAAAGATTGTCTCTAATTTTGGTTGAGAAGAATGCTGATAAAATTTGTGCACCCTGAATTGTTTCAGGGAATTGTCGCTGAATCGCGGGGAGATTGTTCGTATAACAAGAGAGGTGGATGCAAACTTGGTTGGAGGGCGAACGGAACGGTCGAAGCGGTTTGTTTCCCCGAAGCTATGTGCAGGTGAGAGCAAGCAATATCTCAAATCGCCTTGAAAAATTTGCCAGCTTCAGTTGGACGACGAATTCGATCGTTCGCGGTGCAAGGCAAAAGCCGTTTACCCGTTCACGTCCCGACGATCCACCGAACTCTCGCTCAAGATGGTCAGTTCACGAAATTTGCTGTTCCAATTTCGTTTTTCATTTCATGCATTCACTTCCGAACTTCTACTCGTCACATCTTTTATCCAAATGTTTTTTTTTCATTGATTTTAAAAGTATTAGGTTGGGAAGAACCTTCTGCAACTCTTTTCTCATTTTTGATTTTGTTTTATCTTTTTGGTTTACTAAGATCAACTGAGCTTGACCAACTGTACCCTCCTTTCAAAAAGCGAGAAGTGTCGGGTGCAGACCATACACCACAAGTGACGACGGCCTCCAAGTAAATCTGGTTAGTAGTGGTTCATAGTGATAGCTGATTTTTGGTAAATGATAGTTGTAAGTGACAACTGATAGAATACAACTGCAACAGGCTAATCATTTCATTGGCAGAAAACATTTACATTTTGTGGAGGCCGTCGTCACTTGTGGTGTATGGTCTGCACCCGACGCTTTCTCGTTTTTTGAAAGGGAGTGTACGTCTACCGTGAGGGTCCTAAATTGTCTCCAGCGCTCAGAAATTTTCTCGATGCTCCTTTTCCAAAACGTGGCGGAGTGCGGGTCAAGAAAGGAGGCGACCTCACTTTCGAGTTGGAGTTGATCGTCTAATTATTTCGTCATCAAGATGATGATTAAGGTCCAGGATAGGTGGCAGTCATTTACAGCTCGACCAGGGGAATACGCTAAGAGAGGTAAGAAATCTTGCCGCAGCTCCAGAATTTCTTACCGGGCTCATTTCGGATCATGGTGATTCGCAATGTCATGAAAGAAATGAATATTGTCGCGGTACGAGGGCTCTTGACGAGCTGCCTCGGCCAGCTTCTGGAGTTCCAGCAGACTCCCCTGCCTACACAATAGTGCCCATGTTGATATACAGAGATTCGAAATTTGCAGTCTTTTTCCGAAGAGCCTTGTGCCCTGCACCTGTAACAGAGAGTGCAGGGCGTCTTGCTGCCTCTTCCGGATTATCAGAAAATGAAAAGCGCTGTAATCGGTAAGGCCGCTTTCAATACTTTGCGGCTTGCTGACGCGCGATCCGTCGTGACGTGCAACACGGTACAAACGTGCGGGGACGTGAAAGGCGTCAACAATACGCGCACTGCGCGTGGCGCGTACCTTGCGTACAGATGTCGACCCCGCTCGATAATTCTAATTCCAATACATTATGTCCATTTTGTATGATTTGTATGGCGTCTTGCTTTCATTGATGTTTCACAACTTTTTATTTTTTCGCCCTAGATCAATATTTCTCAGTTGCTCCTGAAGAGTGGGCGGTAAGCCTCAGGTTAGGTCGTTAGTGAGCGAAGGCAATATTTTAGAAAAAAAATTTGAGTTTAGAGAAAAAAAAAACACAAAGGAAAACAAGATGGCACACAAAACATCATACTGAAACTGAAATTATCGATCGATCGGGAGCTACCTCTTTACACCAAATATGCGTCCTGCGCCAGTGCGCGGTTGACGCTCTTCACTCTCACCGTACCGTCTGCATGTACCGCAACGTCCGCAACAGCGCAAAGTACATGAAAGCAAGCCGCGAGCCCCCCCCCCATACCTGTATGCGATGAGTTACATTCCTACTGAAGCTATGCAAAGATAGTTTTGATCTTTGACACGAATTCACACTTATGCAGATATTCACTAGACAATGAGTAGTCTAGCACAATGTAAAATGGCGGTCGCACAGGGTCAACCGTCCGTTCGAACTGTTCGAACGAAGGGGTCGCATTTTGGTCGGAAGGGGGTCGCAATTTCGAGGACTGCCAGCCACAGGCGCGTGCGTGGCGTATCCGAGGGCAAGAATTGTTTGTGCAGACCGCATTAGATTCGATTTATTATGCACAGAGAGACAGTTTTAGGCAAATTACAGTGTTTCTTGAAGGAATAAAGAACAGTTGGATGCATCCCTATGAAAGGTTTGACTTCTCGGGGCTGAAAACAAAGTTCTTTGGACCTATTTTTTGGACGCTTCTTCCAATGTACTGTGAAACACATAAGAAAGCGAAATCTCGTAGTCTTCAAAAATGTCTTCGTCCCTCCCCAACAAGCTCTTTGAAGGAAGTTATTATTGCTGAAAGCTCAAAAACTCGCATGTGCTGCTCAAAAACCTATGGGAACAAAATGTTCGAACGTGTGATTTTCTCGGAAAATGGATTTTGAAAAACGGTTTGGTGCTTGTTAGAAAGAGCAAATCCTGTACTTTCACCCCATGAAAAAAGTGCATCACAGAAATGAAAATGAAGTGAGTTATGGTCGCTGAAAGCCCAAAAACTCGCTTTTGCACGGAAAATGTTCGAACGGGACAATTTTTTGAAAGGGGACAATCACTAAACTTTTTATACTGTTTTGATAGAGAAATATTTGAAGTTTCTGAAACTTTTGACAGCTTTCCAAAAGGTCGCATACGAAAGATATTTATGGGCCTTCAAAGTTGAAGGTGCGCCTTCTTAGAATTTTGGGTTTTCCACTTCTAACAGAAGTACTTTCCGGAGAGTTAGGCAATCCTTGTAGTTTTCTGAAAGCGCACCTCAGGCACAATCAAAATCTACCTCAACAAGTCAAAAAAGTACGTCCCAAGAAAGTTATTCCCCTCTAAAATTTTTTCTTCGCCGCGTCCCGTTCTTCCAGCGCCCGGGTGATACCTGCCGCGCTCCAAGGCTGACGCGCAACGCAGACGCTTTCTGCGGCGGCGGCGCAGACGCTTTCTGGCGCAACGGATTCATGTCTAGCACTCTTATTAACAAAAACAGGGGGTCGCAACTGGACCCCTCGAGAGTTAGGGGGTCGCAAATCCCCGAAAATGTTCGAACGTGACGGTTGACTGCGCTGCGTAGCCTAATTGCGCGCACAGTTCGCGGGAAGAAATCCCGGCTCTACTGTTCAAGGCAACCAACCCTTCCATCTTTGGGGTCGACTCCGCAGGGCTGTGTAGACCAAATCACATTCAAGTGCTGTTATGCTCCTAAAAAGTGCTAGAGTGGCGAATCTCAGAAGGACTTATCAAAATTCAGTAATTTTTTCAAAATTTAACAGTCATGAGCAAGCTATTCGACTTGAGGTCGTCAATTTTCATGTTGGCGTCTGGAAACAATCCGATGCCACTTTTAATATTTAAATTTGCTGCATCTCCTGTTTTCAAAAAATTACGCTTGATTTTTCTTTTGAAATTTTGCCTCCTTAAGCTCTGAATAGGTAGCAACTTGAGCCGTGTGTAGTTTTCAGGCTTATGACTAAAGGAATATAATACTGGGAAAGAGCTAGAGCTGTAAACATGTTTATTCATTTGTAAACAACAGCATTATTGGCAGCAGCATTTCTTGGAGCGGCCGTTATTTCTATGTATTCAGGGCGAACTGGTGACGTTGCGAAGGGAGATCGACGAGAATTGGCTAGAAGGCACAAATCATCTCGGTGAATAGGAATCTTCCCCAAGAAGCTACGTTCGATTACTCGAGGACATTCCGGATGATGTGAACGAGGTAAGAGATACCTTCAAATACGAGTAGATTGGTGATCCATGTTAAGAACTTTATGAGAACTGAATTCAGATTCCACAGTTGGCATATTCGCCTGATCGTCCGAAAACTCCCAAAGTCTACGAAAAGGACGCCTACCGCGATTTTTTCGACCTGTGAGTAAGTCAATGAAGTCGGCAGCTCCTCGGCTAGTAGAGAACTAGGCTACAAAAATGATCATATAACTTATCCAAAGGAAAAGCTGGGCGCGAAGTACGAAGGATGACAAGAACTCTCAATTGCTTTCCACTGAGAGGTCCTAATGGGCGCTAATAACACTCGGTGCGCCAAAGAAAAATTGGGTGGAGAGAAGGTATAGCACTTCCACCACAACAACGTTCTATACAAGCTTGCTACAGCGCCTCTACGGCCCGTCACAGTTCTGCTACAGAGCGCATTTCTAGTGAACTAATAAGTGACTCAGTGACTTGACTGAATGAGTGGCTTGCTTCAAAGCTCCAACTTGCTTAGCTTGCATGGCAGAAATCAGTGTCCAATTACCCGCTAGAGACCTACGATATTCAATCCTTTCTCAATTCAAGAAATCCTTCGCGAAATCTTGCCTTTCTCAAAACATGAATGTATCAGTGGTGATCATTGGAAATAGCAACACAAAAGTCGCCGGATGAAAGATTCGGTTTCCAAAGTAAAAATAAAAACTACACTCTATGGACAATCAAAGGTAAAAGGCGCGGAGCCAAAGGCGGGGCATGGAAAGAAGTCCGCCTTGGGCGGCTACGTATCAGGCGACGCAATGAAAGAATCGGGTTAAAGCGTGCGATTTTGGAGAGTAGAGACAAATCGATCGATAGAATAGGATGCAGTAGAAGTGTGAGATGTTAATGCAATAAGTCAAAAGGCCAGAAAGAGTTTCTAGTGACGGCACTCCGAGAACCGAGTGGAAGCATCCCGTCGCCAGCATTTGTGACAGATGTGCGGCGGGTACTTTGAACGCGAAGCAGCCCTTCCGGTTTTTTTTTTTTAATTTTTTACCAAAACAAATGCAATTTTTCTGTTTTTTCCATTCTTATCGGGAATGATGAGTCTCAAGCCAGTGAATGGCTGAAATAGAACCATGATTTATCCGTGAAGGATTCCTTTAATGACGACTTATGGGTCCTACTTGCAGTGCTGCCTTCAAAGGAACAGCTCTGAAATCGTCAACAGTCGGACGTAACGTCGCACTTTTGTTGTTCTATGCTCACATTAATCAGCTCTAAATCCTGCGGACCTACGGATAGTAGTTAAGTGGGCAAACAAATAATGGCTATAACTTCGTAACGGGCGCCGCGCTGTAAAAACCATCAGCACTTCCTCAGCTAAGTGACAACCAGTGTGAGACATCCGTTCGACCGACCCAAGGGGGAGAGTCGCATTTGGCTCACAGAGAATGGACGAGTCTGGATTCATCCGGTTTAACAGACTTTCAAATGCCTTCTACGAACATATACTTCAAATGTGAAAACGTAGGCGAATGCGTGCTCCGATCGCACAGTGTTCTCATTTTTCAGTGCGAAACGCCTCAGTTTGATCGAACCAGAAAGATCCCATTGCTGGAGCAAAATGCATTTTTTACCAACGTTAGATGGTTGGATAGCGCAACAATAAGGAAGGGCTAATTCATCAAGGAGCGGAAGCGGGTCAGTGGCAAAGTGCGCTGCTTAATCACACCACGCGCGTACCGAATCGAATCCTGGGTCGCGCGTTGTCCGGGCCAAGCAAGCCGATCATCCCTCCGGGGTCGGTGAATTGGTACCAGACTTGGAGCACATGCGAAACGGAGACTAGACTATAGCTTTGATTTCCAAATCCCAATCCAAGAATAGGATAATATAAATGTATAGTTTCACTATAAATTAGTACTGCTGTAACTCTGTTTTGGCCGCAGTTCGCCCTGCGATTTTCAACAAAAGACTGCGGGTTGCTGAAAAACAGCAGTTAACAAACAAAACAAGTCAAAATTCATTGCTAAAGCTTTCAGCCTCGCGGTCATTGCCGATATCGGCTAACCGGCTCAACACGTTAGACGTGTGAGTGCTGAAAGCTATGGTACGTATACCATGAAAAGCTGAGTTGGAACATGAAACGTTCACCTCAAGATTATGCACTGGTAGCGCACTTGTCCCGGAAAGCGAGAGGTGCGGGTTCGAATCCCGTCTGGGGCGAAAGTTTTGTTCACAACCCAGCATTCTTGTGAAACATTCGCAAGGCGAACTGCGGCCAAAAACAGCAGTTAACAAACAAAAATAACTAGCACGAATTGTCTAGTACTGGTCAAATCCATAGTCCAAATATGTCTCTCTATTTCTGGTGATCTCCTCAGAATGTTCTGTGTAGAAGACTCTCATGGAGCATGAGTAAGATTGAGGCGATTTCAGCTGATAAGTCGTCCCAAATGCCAAAATAACTCTGATGGAGGGCGCATAGGATAGCGTAGTGAGGTTGGCGAAAGCGGTACTCAAAAATGGAGTGCGATTTGAGTCCCACTAACGCTGAACTTTCGATCCTTGGCTCGTAACTTACATTATATCGGTGAAAACATAACTCCTTTTTTATACTACTGTAGAGCTTTTCATTATGATCTGTCTCATTTGCTGCAGGATGCCGGAGTATGAGATGACTTGGTTCCTTATATGACCTCACCCTGTACAGACCTCATAACTCTTCAATCACAATAAATTTCTAGTCTCCACAACCCATAACTCGGATCTACGAGTTTTTTCACCGCGAATTCAGTGATTTGTGTATATCGCCTCAGTCAGTACGTCTAGCAAGTGTCCAGGTAAATTTTCGGAGTATGAAACAGGATAATGGACCCAGTGGTCAAACAACTCTTCCGCCACTGCCAAGTCAATTCGCGCGCGAGAACGGCACCAAGCTGTGAAAAACGCGACTCGACTACATACCTATCAATCTTCAAAAATGTTTCACATCACACTACACACTATCATGTCGTCTCCCGCCGTTTCGCTGGAACTGGCAAGTAGATTTTGGTGCTACACATATTACTAGGCTGGGCGCGCCAATTTTTGAGCACGGTAGGAGCCAAACATATTAGACCTCGGTCCAAAGCCAATTTTTGAGAAATTTTACATGTATTTGTGTAAATTTTTTTTGATAAGTATTGAAGCTTTCCAAGATGTCCAGCAACCTAGCACACAAGCTCGCCTATCCGACAGGCTAGCCACCTCGTTTGCATGTTACTTTCTTTAGCTAGACTTCCAATTTCTTTGAGACCTACTTCTGAAGCCTCTTTCGTCATGACTTCAGATTAGAATCTTCCACGAGACAGGGCTATAAGGAGGATTACCCAGAGGATAGCTGAGGGCACGCTCCCTCTCATTGTGCAGGGCCGGTGGTTACCTCTATTCAGGTTCCTCTCATTTTCTTGAAGATGATTCACACTCCAACCACCCCGTGACCGGCAATCTCGATGCTTTATCCGGCGCCATTGAAAAGGAATCTAACATAAGAAATTAGCGCTATTTGTCAAAGCTCTTATGATGTGACAGGTCAAGGTGCTGAGACAACACAATTAAGTCGCTGAGGTTTGAAAATATGGAGTTTGTCTCTCCCATGCTCTGAGCCCTAATCATCTCTAAAACTTATCCAACATCATGTTCCTATCGGTTTCCGATAGTCCTTCAAACTGACGGCATCCATCCTACTCATCGATGGTGTGGACTTGGGTGCAGTTTGCTAATAAATCCACAAGCCGCAGCAGGTTAACCCAAACGATTCGGGAGTTCTGTCAGCAAAAGTCCAACTCCTGAGTTCTAACTTCCTGAGTCGTTGGCGCTTACGCGCCTGGGACGCCACCAACCTAACAACCATTACGCAGTGATGAAGATAATCGTAGACGCCTTGATGACAATGCCTTCAACTTTGAGGCGAGGTAAGAAAAAGTATTTTTTCTGAGGTCGTGCTCCCGCCTTGCTAAGAAAATTCCTAAAAAATTGGAGACTCTCGGGCGGTCAGTTCTTTTAGCTCCGCCTTGTAGCACTAATCCTGCGTCAACGAACGACTATCCGCTCTCCTCTCTCAATCACCTTCTGGAGAAGAAATCTCACTTGAATCACCATAAAGTCAAAATCGACATCCAATATTTCTTCGATCAGAACTCTATGAAATTCTACAAGAGAGGACACTGAATACCCACCCTCGCATTGGTTATATGTTGGTAATAATGGTGATGTATACTATGCTGAATAAATACATCAGAAAATAAATAAGTAGTTAAATCGAGAAGCACCAAAGGTTCTCAGAAATTATGGACCGACCTAATACATGGGGAGTGGTGAGGACTGCTGTGAAGTCACGAGACCCTGCGAGAACTGATAATCACTCTCTATTTTCTGCTTTCCCAAATCTTAGTCTATCACTTCCCACAGCGTTTTTTTTTATCGTCATAGCATTCCACATAAACATTTCGTGCCTTTCATGCCTAGAAAAAGGCATGCCCACTCGTCTCAGATGGCATCGAGGTTTTAAGTCTTCCAATGAGAAAACATTCTTGAAAGTTGGAAAAATTCATGCAAATTTCCAGGCAAATACTTCCGGATGAGTCCAGCATCAACAGATCAAGCGGCCGAGGAGCGAGGGGTACTTGTGCACCGCTGACAAAATCCCTAAAGGAAGTCAAACGTTAGTTGAAAACGTTCTTTTGATTTTTTAAACCTTCAGTTTTTTCTTATCTTTAAAATTATTTTGACATATGAAATACTATTCTGGCACAGCGATTAGGCGAGACGGTAGTATTTCCTTTGTCGGTAGTTTAGTTTGGCGTACATAGATCGAGTCACACGGGAACAACAAGCTCCTCAAGTTGATAAATTTTTGTTCAGAAGAAAAATATAGTATTTACCCACATATATTTGTATACCTATTACGTCCACAAAATATTCAAAGAGGAAATTCGTCCCCCGTTGGCCAGTTCTCTTACTGAGCCACTGCTGTTGGTGACCTCGATTTCCATGCAGCTGCTGCCCTTCTTGAAATGTGTGACGAGAAGAAGCTAACTCCAGGATGATTTTCTCATGAAGGTCACAGTTTTACCTGTCATTGTTTTTGGAGAAATGATGCTCCTACAACGGGAAGCTTGGCATAGTCTTTCTGGGATCGGAAAGGCGGAGTTTACTAGGAAAAGACAGGGCATTACATACGCAAGGGAGGTCAGTGATGCGGGAAGATGCGAAAGAAATACCAAAGAAGCGGCCCGCCGGCCTTCCAAGTAAGGTGTATTTCCGTTTCTCTGATCACCAAACCTAATCGTGAAATCCTATTGGGACGCGAACTTAACCCACCAGATCATTGTAGCATTTATGTGGGAAAGCAAAGGGACAAAAGGTAGCTGTAGTGGTTCGCCGAAGCTCCTCTTCAAACCACAAGGCAAAAGAAAGTTGTGCAGTTCTGAATGATATGACGTCCATGGATACAGTCATTCATTTTCAGATGCCGAATTCATACTGTGTAGATCGTTGATGACTTCAAATAAGAAGTGAATCATTTTCTAAAACCGGACAAGTATTACTTCTATACCGGCTTTGTACTGAATATGTTCCAGATTCGCTGCAGACAACGTCCCAGTGCGTCCCCTAACCTTCTCTCGAACTTAAATTCAGAATTGATCTTCAAATTAAGGAGAACAGCAGCCGTTGATCTTCATAAAGTTTTTGTCTCAAAGATTCTTTGTTTGATTTCAAAGCTTACTAGAGCAATAATCCCAACAAGGTGAGTTGTAAGGGTGAGGCAGTGGGTTAGAGCTTTTCCATGCAAAAACATTGCTCCAATGTCTTTCAAAAAGAGGGCTCTTTCTAGTAATCAAACATAGTAGTACCCTGACAATAGAAGCGAATGCCGTATTATTATTTTAACCAGATTGGTCCCCCGGCAACCACCGGGACCTCCTTACCTGCGTAAGCTTTACTCCTTCCAATGTGCTCCCATCCACTGGTGACATGGACACCTCGGAGGTGGCACGCATGCACAAAAAAGTGTCTTATATAGTAGAAGGCATTACCGTAATCGTGACATGACCTTAGAATGATATTAATTGGACCTCAGGTCTTTTGGCGGTTAGCTCCCCTCGCCCTTCTCCATCTTATCCTATTCCCTCTACTGCTCTCCAGCTGCTATTGCAGCATCATGTGGAATGAATGAGACCATGCTCAGTAGGTGTTTATATAGCCGTTGGGGTGTTATCACATTGATAGCACTGCAAAACATTGATTGCTAAAGTCATAGTTACTCGATTTTGTTAACGGTCTGTTTACTTCACGAGTTTCCCTACCACTTCATTTTGCGGACGGACACACATACATACATACATACATACATACATACATACATACATACATACATACATACATACATACATACATACATACATACATACATACATACATACATACATACATACATACATACATACATACATACATACATACATACATACATACATACACACACATACAGACATACAAACCGACACACAAAGTTAGCGCTTTATAAAATAGAAGGATTATAAGCAGCGGCCTCTTTTAACCCGACACGTCCCTACGAAAGACGACGAAGTAGCGCTGGAAGTGAATGACATCATTTTTGTAGGTGAAAAAGGCGACGACGGTTGGTACATTGGTATGTTTTTTCTTCATTCCCAGAGAACCTTTTTTTATCGTCGATAAAAGCGAACAATTCATCGTTTGTAATCGACTACCTAGAATAACTCCATCTCATCCATGAACAATTTCAGGACCTCGTCTTGCGAACCGGCAGTTTTTGTAAACCTTCCCCGGTAAACTACGTGGAACGGCATTAGATCAACAGCGCAGACAATTTTCGAATGATAACAAAATATTTGCTTGGAAGAGATTCTATTGACGATAAATAAATTTATTACGCCTTGCTTTCGGAGTACGCACGAAATAGGAAGATATTTTTACAGTTACTTTACATTAGTGAGGACAAGCGCAGTGGGCCTCAGTGGCTCACTTGTGCACTCGACGATCCGAAACTAAACTTGACACCATATTTCCCGTTAGTGGAAACAGACCTCTTCAAAAAAAAGGAGTTCATCGAGAGAGGAGATTTTGACGGTTTTGAACGGGGTTTGGGCAAATCTGGCCCACGGATAAACCGCGCTTGAACTGATGCTTTGCTGTACATTAAGGGAACTCTCTTATTCACGTTAGAGCAAAGTTTGAGAGGTCGTATCAAAACCCCGATCTGAGGGTGAGGGAGGTCGTACTCATGTGACCACGTCCTCGACACGATTTTCACCCTGCTCTGCGGCGTTCCACGATAGTGTTGGTGATCCCAACCTCCAAGGTTCTGACAGTTTCGAAGGTGTGGATGTGAAATTAGAGGCTCTTTTGATGAAGTAGATTCTGAAGTCTCATAGAAAAATACGAAGAAAGCTCGTTAAAAGTACGAGAACCCGGTCAGACCCGCAGCGCTTCGGGGGCTTGCAATTCTAATCCCAGTGTGGTAGCTACCAGACATTGGAGTTCATTCCAGCAATGAAAATATGAAAATTTTGTCATTCGTCACCGTTGATTAGGTGCCAATTCACATTTCAAAAATACTCATTCGAGCAGCGATGATGTGGTGACAAGAGGGGCCGCTACCGCGCGTGTATAGTCCTGGATCAAAATCCCAGGTCAAATCCAGCGTACATCAGCCAAAGTTCTATAGGTGATTAGCCGTTGCAGTGAGCGATAGCTACTACATCAAACGCATCAGTTACTTGATTTCATCGTCAAGTCGTAGTCTAAGGGTTAACTGCGACTGCAAACATTGCACGCTGCCTAAGGGTGGGTTACGGAGCAGTTATGCGAGACGGGGAGAGTAGGAGAGCATTATAGTGATCTAACTAGATCTGATACCCTTTCAGAAAACTTCACTTATACTTGGTTACAAGGCTTCTGTCAACCAAAGGGTGAGAGCGTAGCTGGAAAAGCACACACTTTGTGTCTTATTGGGACTAAGCCTTTTGAAGAAGATAAAGAAAGAGGAGATGCTGTGATAGTGTGCACTTGTGAGAGCTCCCAGACATCACTACAAAACGCTGAACCGCCAAGCCTCACGGTTGACAGAAGTCCTGAGACCACTCATACTTTCAAAAAACGAGAAGAGCGTCAGGTGCAAACCATCCTACTTACTATAAAGCGCTTCGTCTGTCGTCTGTCGTCTGTCTGTCTGTATGTCTGTCACGAAATTCCCTAGCTCCTCGGGATCCGCCTGGAGAGACCGGGTCAAGTGTGGGATGGGTGGGCAAGGTCTCACGAAGTACAAAACACACATCAGCTAAGCGGAGCCCCGCCCACAGTGGGCGTGGCGTGCATCGAAATGAACTGTACTGACGACCAGATTTCAATTCAGTACAAAACAGCCTCGAAACTGGGCCAAAAAGTGGGTAAAGGTGTGCATTGGTAAGTCAGATCGAATTAGGGAGACCCACCCCCGGTGGGCGGGGCGTTCTCTAAAAAAGCAGTGCTTTATGAAAAATTCATAACTCGGTTGGGAGAAAGCCTACAGAGCAGAAAAAATTGGTGTAGGGGAGCAATGTCTAAGGTGTTCCCAGCATACATGACGTGAGGCGGAGGCCCGCCCACAATGGGCGGAGCGTGCCCTGAAGTGTACAGCGTTTCCTACAAGTCCTCATAATTCGGTCCGAGAAGTCTTGGAAAGCGGAAAAAGGTGGATAGAGGTCAGAGAAGGAGGGGAGGCTAATGACGGGCGTAGCGCGCACAAAAGTGGGCGGAGTTTGCTACCAAACTTATAACTCGGTTCCAAGAAGTCCTAGAGGCCGGGAACAAAGACTATAGACTATAGTTCTACTACGGGGAGGAGGCCAACACCTATAGGTGAGGTGGAGCGTGCACCAGTGTGGGCGGAGTTATCCAGGAAACATTACAACTCGGTTCCAAGAAGTCCTGGAGACCGGGAAAAGTGGATCGAGTCTGACTACGAAAAGTCAATTGCCATTAGTGGGTGCACGCACCAAAGTGGGCGGAGTTTGCCAAAAGTGTCGTAATTTGGTTCCAAGAGGTCCCAGAGACCGGTGAAAAAGGGGGTAGAGGTCGGCGAAGGAAAGGAGGCCAAATGCTATTGGTGGGCGGGGCACGCACCAGAGTGGGCGGGGTTTGCTGCCAGACGCTGCCATAAAGTGTTTCTAGGGAGTTCTAGAAATCGGGAACAACGTGGGTGGCAAGATAGAAAAAGATGGGTGGGGCTGCACCGAAATAGGCGGAGTTTCCGACGAGATTTATAAATCGGTCCAAAAGCAGTCCGGAGAAAAAGACGGATATTGGTTGACGAAGAAAGAGGGTCGAAAGCCATCGATGATGGAGCGGATAGAATCTTAGCTAAGAAGTCAGATATTCGTAGTGTATCAGCCAAATTTGAGATATTCGCAGCAGATCTGTGTTGTGAGCACAGGGCCAACTGGTAACATAAATTACGACGGTTCCAAGTGAATCTGGTCGTGTAGTGGTTCATGATGATAGCTGGTTTTGGCAAATGATAGTTGTAATCAGCGGCAACAGATAGAACACAACTGCGACAATCCAATAATTTCACTGGCAGAGAACATTTTCATTTTGTGGAAGTCCAGCGACTCCAATCGATAGGTATCTAATCTTCTCTGCGCATATCTTGTTCTAATACTGACGCAACATCTATGCTTGTCATCACTCATCTCCCGGAGTCTGCGAACTATGAACGCGTCTAATCATTGTCATTGTTAGAGATCACCGTGCTTCATTCAGAAAACAAGGAATGAAAGTTCTTCGCAGAAATCATGCAACCAGGTTGTATCAGTTGTTATGGAAGTGATCCTCCTTCAGCTAGTTATTCTAAACAGCCGACAGTTCTGAGATGGTCGGCCCATCGGCTGAATTTTTAGGTATGATTCAACTTTGCAGTGTTAAGGGGCTTTATTGATTACATTGGTAACAGTGACGACAAGCGCTTCCGATAAGCTCTTGAATTCAGAAAGCATTATCTTCTCATTCCAGTGATCGTTGTCCATGTTTTGGCGTGGTTCCCTGCGTCATCGCCGCCATGGGACGTAAGTCAAATTTCCATCAAAAGGTGATAGGTAAAGCTATTACTGCTATGGCTACGATTACCTTTGATTCATAGCCAAGCAGGACACTTCCACGTGGTGGCCGCATCACCCTGTACGCTACCATCTGGAATTAGATTTTACAGTGGACTTTTGTGATTTTTCAAGCGCTCAGGGTGGTAGTCAGCTCAGGCGATCGAACAATCGCGACAGCGAAGCGACTGAGCGCCCAAACGCGAACCATACGGAGCAATAGCGACACGCTCTACTCGGCCATTATGCAGCATATAACCATCTGCAATCCATATCGAATGCAAAGTTGCTAACCTTGAGTTGGGAGACCATCGAAAACCCGTGAAAATGAGGATCCTTGTCAACTAATCTCAATGATCATATCCTACTATATATAAGCGGCTAGCGTGTGTCTGTTGGTGTGTGTGTGTGTGTGTATGTTTGAACGGAAATTCATAGCTCGAGTCACAGTAACGATAGCGCAGTGGTTCTTACATATGTTATAGGGGGTGGGATGGGGACACAAGTGGTACGTGATAGGAACTGATAACGACTGATAATAGCTGATAAGAGGGGCTAGAAAGCGAGCATCGCCAATTTCGTTTTGCCGTTCATATTGGTAAAAGAGCGTCTATACTTAACAAGTCTTATGTGGGGCGGTCCCGGACATTGGTGGTACATGATTGGAAGCGATAGCAACTGATAATGGCTGATAAGATGCGCTAGAACGCAAAAGTCGTCGATTCCGTTGCCTGGCTCGCGTTGACACCAGAGCAACCATACTTACAAGTGTTATGTGGGGTGGGACGGGGACATTGTTGGTGGGTGCCAGAAACTGATAACGATTGATAAGGGCCGATAAGGCGCGCCAGAACGCTGAAGTCGTCGATTCCGTTGCCTGGCTCGCGTTGACACCAGAGCAACCATACTTACAAGTGTTATGTGGGGTGGGACGGGGACATTGTTGGTGGGTGCCAGAAACTGATAACGATTGATAAGGGCCGATAAGGCGCGTCAGAACGCAAAAGTCGTTAGTTCCGTTACGCAGCGTTGACACTAGAGCGTTCCTACTTACAAATTGTAGTAAGTCGTAGTAGTACAAACAAAGGTACGTGCACATTATTTCGATATATATGTCCAGCTTACTTAATAGAATTCGACTGCATAAATTTTAAAAAACAAGTCTTCAGCGAATGATAAGTTTCATTTCTGACTATTAAGAAAACCCAATCTCATTAAACCGCTAATCCTTTCGTGGTTCTAAATAATGATGAATGTAAATGAATGATAAGCATTAGCTCCTCACTTATGTAAATAGGCATATTTCGTTTTGATTTTGAGACTGACAGCAATCACTCAATAAGAAATGCTGGATGTTTACAGTTGTGAGATCAATATACCAGTTCAGCTCAGACGTTATCACGCGTATTCTCGATGAGCTTCAGTGAAACTGTGGAGGGTCTAACACAGTCAATAGTGAGATGGTTGATGGAGTATCTCATGCTGATATTCCATGGGTCCTCCAATTTCGCTAAAGCCTGCCGTGTGATGCGCGCGATAGCGGGCGAAGCAAAACTGGTATGTATAATCGGTATAGGTTGTGTGTGTGTTGTGTGTGTGTGTGTGTGTCTGACCGGAAATTCATAACTTCGTTCCCTTTGATCCCAGAGCGCTCAAACTTCTAGGGTATATAGGGGGTCGGGGGCGAACACTGATGGTGGGTGGCGGAAAGTGATAAGTACTGATAGAAGCTGATAACGGGCGTCAGAATGCCGATGTCACCAACTTCCTTACGCCGTTCGCGTTGGCAGTGGACTGCTAGCACTCATGAATATTGTGTAGGGTAGGACTGGGACCCAAATGGTGAGCGAAGGAAAGTGATAGCAAATGATAAGGGCTGATAAGGGCATCGGAATGCTGAACGTCGTCAGTTTCGCAACGCCCTTTGCGTTGATCCTAAGATGTTCGCACTCATGAATATTATGTGGGGTGAGGCAGGGACCAAAAGGGTGATCGGAAGAAGGTGGTAACAACTGATTAGAACTGATAAGGGGCGTCAAAGTGTGGATACCACCAGTTTCGTTGCGGCCTTCGTGGTGACAGTAAATATTAGCTCCTACACGCTACAAGATGGGACGGAGATACGGTGAATGTGGGTGACAGAAAGGGGTGTGAAAGGCAGGTGCACTAATAAAAATAGCGACATTGAGTGCGCACTCGGTTAAACTTAACCAGATTCCTAGCACGGGAATATGTTCCATTTCCACCCTTTCATCTAAAAAAGCAAAGGAAGTTGAGCTGCTCCACTATCTGGACTTGGACTAATAGCGAATAAAATCATATTTCCAATTTCCATCATCGATTGATGCTGATTGATTGGTTGTATTCCACTTACACACCGATTCTTCAATTGTGGGAATTCTATAAACCGCTAAATCGCCCGAGCTCGATATCAATGCTAAATGTTTACGAAGTCATGATAAGTACCATTTTCATTCCGCATGCTACTGCGCGCATTACGCGACAATCTTCAGCGAAACTGGACAACCTTTAAACATCATGTGAAACATCTTCCAAAACATCTTACTCTTAGTTTCTCAGTCACGTGACCTAATATTCTGCAAGTTGTCCAGTTTCACTAAAGCCCACCATTTGATGCGCGCGGTTGCGGGCGGAGCTAACTATCCTACTATATATAAGCGGCTAGCGTGTGTCTGTTGGTGTGTGTGTGTGTGTGTGTGTTTGACCGGAAATTCATAGCTCGAGTCACAGTAACGATAGCGCAGTGGTTCTTACATATGTTATAGGGGGTGGGATGGGGACACAAGTGGTACGTGATAGGAACTGATAACGACTGATAATAGCTGATAAGAGGGGCTAGAAAGCGAGCATCGCCAATTTCGTTTTGCGTTCATATTGGTACTAGAGCGTCTATACTTACAAGTGTTTATGTAGGGGTGGTCCTCGGGACATTGGTGGTACATTACAAAAGTGGTAGAACTGTAAAGGTGATAAGATGCGTTAGAGCAAAAGTACTTGATTCGATACAGTCGCTGTGCACCAGAGGCATGCCATACTATAAAGTGTTATGTGCGGTGGGAACGGGGACATTGTGATGGTGATAAAAGTGGTACATGAGTAAGGTGATAGGCGGTTAGAACGCAGGAAGTACTGGGATTCGTCACACAGCTCGCGCTTGACACAGGCATCCACTTAGCAAGTGCTATGTGGGGCGGACGGGAGCAGTGTTGATGGGAGATTTGAAGTGATTGCAGCTGATAAGGCGCGTCGAACGCAAAATTCGTCAATTACGTTATGCAGAGGAGAAGACCAAGACGACATAGACCACTCGGCCTACTGTTTGGAAGAAGTAATAGGGTTAGGCTGAGGAATTGGACTCCGTGGCATTTTAGAAGTATCATAGGCGCGTATTGTCTGGGCGTGTTTCTCAAATCGAATTCTGCGAGTCCATAGAAGCATTTAGGCAGCTCGATTACAGGTCTTCATTGCTACCACAAGCTATTCAGTGGTTAAACTAGAGAGGAGCAATGCCGAATATCATCTCACGTGTACTGGTCGTTGGCAAATATTCTCACCATGCGCCATTTTCGACGGAACACCAGTTATTGTCAGAAGCGCAAAAAGACGATCCCTATACGGTTACTGTGTCACTATTCTGGCTAGGGAATTACTTGCCCTTACAATCCTGATAAATGTTTTTGCAACTGCAGCATGTGACTGACGTGGGTCCATTTTTGCCTGTAGCAAAACCTAGCAATCACCTGCTGTTGCGGTTGTTCGTGATCCACCACCTCCTACCCTTCCGGCTGCGGTCCGCATTACTCCCCATGCTCATAAAGCAAAGCTGTAAGCAACACAGAACTCCTGGACCACATTCGTGACAGATCGTCCTTCTTTCAGTTTTCCGGTGATTCTTCCTCGTGTGAAGTCACCCTAATGTCGTCTCTCACGATCCGACTTGCTGTTATAAACAGAACCACCATATTAACTTGTCGCTGTTTGAAACATCCGTCTTTTCTGGATTCATCAAACATTACGTGTTGCGTGACCAGTCCCGTTTTGTTTCAGATTGGAGCGGAGAGATTGTCATTTTATCCTTCTCGTCCTTAGCTTTACACCTTCTTACTAGTTTTGAATTATCAACAAAAATGGTTGTTCAAGGTGAAAAAACTCGCTTTTTCAGTCGGATCTCATGAAATGCTTCAACTATGATAGCGAACTATCCAGCAGCGCATCAGAATCAGGTTCTAAAGGGGCTCATGTTATGGGTAGGTCCCTTATGTTTTGTACAGCGTGTGGTCACTAGCTTTTCCAAAAAGATACGAGTTTTCAGCAATTGTTATAGGTATTCCTAATTCATACGAAAGTTTTTTTAGTGCTTGGAATCACACACAACTGTTACCTGTATTATGGTTCAGTATCTTCGCCTTCAGCGACGAACCTTACGAGAGAAATTAAGGACGACGGTAATGACCAGTGCAAAGACAAAAGGGCATTCAAAGTGACAGCGGTAAGTTTCAATGTGCTCAAAAATTCAAAGTTATCGGAAGCACCCCTTGAATTCTCTGAACAGCGGATAAAACTCAACGCATAGTGCCAGATGAAAACAAACGCAAGGGAAACAGTCACAAAAACATGGAGCTTTTGCTGTTAGTTTCGGATGCCACGACCACCAGGGCGTATAGCATGCGTTAATGCCGATAGCGATATCACGCAGTAGTTAACAACTCGTCATCATATCATTGATTCAAAGCATCGCCAGAAAGAATCAAAATATATCGAGTACGTCCAAGTGAAACCAGTCGTAACCTTCAGCGTGAAAACGCCATCAGGCACATCTCTGGAGCTAGATCATCCGGCCTCAGATTAATAGGGGCTTTATGCAACCTTATCGTGAAATGCTCCTCTCGAAATCTTACGCTTATTCTGCCTTCCTACATGAACAGGCAAACTACCTCTCGTCATGTCTCCTACAAAAGACTTTTCCTAAAGCTAAGGCTATTGGATCACTTTGTCGATCTTCCTCAGAGACGTCTCTAATAAGCTTGCTTGAGAAACTACAGACAGCGACAATGGTTAGGATCCCACAACATCAAAAGCCATAAGTGGGACAATGTCTTATATGCAAACCCGTGAAATCACCGTTCTCCTTGAGAGAAGTGAAGCACTTTAAAGGCACAACCCAGGCAGAGGTCGTGTGAACTCTTCTCTTCGGTCAGAAGTATAGAACCCTAGGGGACAATCACAAATGTGGCGTTCACGTGCACGGAATTCGACCGACAAGAACGCTTTGGGCTTGCAAAGTAAGCTGCTCGAGCTGCAGCGAACGAGCTCTCTTATCAGGCCGTTGTCTGGTGCTCTCTCATCTGATGCGCTCTCTCGCCCCATACTCTCCTCTTCGCGCTTAGTCTCTCGTTCCTTTAGCACAGCCAATTAGGAAGGTGAGTGAGAAGAAGCCTAAACCTGAGCAATTCACTGATCGACGGATCTTTCTTTATTCTCACGTGCCTGCCTCAATTGCCCACCGAATACATTCCACAAATTCGTGTGGCACAGAGCACACCCAGTGCGATCTCTGGAGCATGCTCTTAAGCGTAAAACTGAATGGAAGCAAAGTGTTAATGAAAAATATGGAGTCAAAAATGAATGCCACATTAAAACACATTCACCGTGCCGATGGCCGCCACATGGCGCCAACAACATGCGCTCCTGGGACGATGGAGCCCATATGGGCTGCCAACTAATAATCGCTTGCCAGGCGCTAGGACTGGACAGATAAGTGGGCAAACCTCGTAATCGAGTGTGAAATGCTTTCAAATTCCTTCACGGGGAAAGTGATGAAAATTGGCTCCCTTTGCAAAACCAATATTCCGGTCGTGCTAAAGTTGGAAATCCGCACAGTTATAGCAATATTGTCAGATAATCTTTACGCATTGGACATTGCAGAAATTATTTTGTGACATTCATGTTTTTTGTCCATTTACAAAACAAAATTTGCGGTTATGTGGTGAGGCGGCGACGCCCACAAAATCGCGTCCGTCCCACGCGACCGAAAAGTGGAAAAGGCGTCGTGTCGGATTGTTTGCTACTAGCTTCTCGTGATACCACCCTGGACGCCGCATACATAACGCTTCGCGACAGTCTACATGCAGTCACGGCCGATAAAGTGCGAATCAGCACCGAGCGTGAGGTGGTGTACTGAAGCGTCATAACAGTACCAATCGATTTAGTACGAGCAATGTCTTGCCACATGGTTACAGAGTAAGTTTTCAGTGTAACGTAGTAAGTGTAGGTGGTCCGTGTGTTGGTAGAGGGTGAACAATGGGTGATGGAGGGGAACGATAAGAATTGTCAGAATGGGATCTAAGAGCAGGTGCCATCAGCACCTCTACGTAATTTGTCATCAAACGGAGCTCTCGCTCAGAAGTAGTAAAAAGTGGGATAAGGAATGTGTGTAGACCTGACTGCGTAATTCTTTTTTCACAATTGCCGCTGATACAGAGAGCTGTGTCCGCACTAATAAGCCATATGGCTGTGCACGTATTCGTGTGGATCACTACGAACTACAATATACATAGGACAGGAACAAATATTATTATGGAGGTTTCACTGGCAAGCAACCCGCCATCACACCAGACATTAAGCCTCCCTTGCTTTAGCCAACCTTAACGGCCGCTTTCCACCTCCGTGCCCTCATTGAACTACACCTACATTTATGTTCGATGCAAAGTTCATCTAATTCAGCTCACTCTCCACCCATCAATACCCGTTAATCTCTGTTCCATTCTCGGAGTCCCCCTATACTTTTCAGGACTTGAGAATACTACACTAGACACTAAAAGCAAGGAAAGCCTACGTTCAGCGAGAAGAATAACACCACCACCTGATGATTTCCTGAGCACGCACCGACATTTAAGCATGCACTATAGTTGTGTGCAACCGACCCAGTAAGGCTTGGCCTCCCTCCTATGCGCTCGTCAGGGACTTCCCTACCAAATAGAACGCCTCTGCCTCAGGAGTGCAAGCGTTGAGGCGTTGCTGTCCATGTAGATCCTTGTGCACTGTGAACCACGGTTGAGGGTTCCTCGGCTCGATATCACGTTTGCTACTAATCTAGGAAGAGTGGCTCACTTCTGGAAAGAAATACTCATGAAGTGTATGAATGAACTGACAAACGGGAGTCTCTCAGAACATGGACAGCTTTTTTAATGCTTCCTGTGTTGTAGAAGTCAGTGCAGGAAGCCACTGACATGTATTATTCGCTGAGCGCGCTCCCATAGAAATTGTCAAACACGCGGAAAAAATGGTCCACAGTTCGATCTTACGTATGAAGTTGACAGTTCATTTGTTGAAGTCCCGTCCAAAATAGAATAAGTGACCAAATCTCGCCGATTGCTCCATGTTCGGGCGCAGCAATCTGGGGGACGGCAAAACTCGTTATTGCAAAAGCTATCCACGGGATCGAACCTTGGACTATCTGCCTCCCACTGTTTGATCATGCTCTGGAGGCGTCGGCAAGGGAGATGAGGAAAAGGGATAGCGCTCCTGCTCTGGCTAGAACCCCGTCAAATACGGTGCAGAAACACATTGTTCGAAGAAGAGCTCCTATGTGCTAAAAGGGCCTACCTCGTGAGGAGATAGCATTTAATCCTAACTCTCACTAATTAAGCCGCTTAGCATTCGGCGAGCGTAAATAATGCAAACCTGAAAGAAAGTGATGGGTAATCTCATTAGCATTTCCATACGTGAATAAAAATTTTTCAAAAGAATAGAGATGAAGTGTTTGTGACAGCCGAAAGCTAATTGGTTTTTCAGCATGGAGACACTCAACCGCTAGTCATCGTTGTCGACAGATTTGGAAGGAGAGTCAGAGTGCAACCAGCAATAAGGTAGATTTACTTGGTTCGATATTTGTATGTCTTATTCATGTGATCGAATCTACATTATTCAAGGTTGATTCCGTGTACGACCGGAATTAAGGCGCTCTTGTAGGAAATGCGGAAGCAGTCCACCGCATGGTTCATTAGCAAAAATTAGACTTGACATTATTTGGCGATATCCAGGAAAAAAGGTCATAGGCAGTATGCCACTGAAACTACTCATCGTTGGGCATCACTACGCGAGGGGTAATGAAGGACCCGCGAAGATGTAAAGTCACGCATGGAAAGAAGTCCGCGCGGTGACTGGGGCTGATGCGTGATTTGAGCTTGAAAAAATGAAGACTATGAGAGTCACTCGAGCGGCGGACTCTTTCCTCACACCTGAAAAAGAAATAGAAACAGGTCGGGCAGGTGCGCTTCGAGTAATGCGTCGCAGTCGCAGCGATCGTGCTAGGCACGGAAAACCACTGGTAAGCTTGACAAGAAAGAAGAAAGGGGTTTCGTTCTGGATTTTCAGCTAGAGATCAAGGGAGGCAGCAAAGAGGGTTAGGCCGGCACGACACATGAAATTTTCTCGTCTACGTTTGTACATACACTTAGTGACGCGCTGCTCTGTGCGTACAACAATCTCTGCGGCGATTTGCAATGATGGGGTAAATTCCGAATTTTGGGCCCGATACATCATGAAAAATCTAACTCTGAAATAGACGTTTAGCTCATCTCCGCATCAGCATTGCTTTTGACCTTCCTCTTCGTCAATCTTTATCTGCTTTCCTGGCTTCGACTGGCGCCTCAAGACCGATACGTAAGTCTCGTGGTATACTCCAACTTTGGTGCATGCTACCCCACCATTAGAAATTCACTTCCTTCCCTTCGCCACCCTCTCCCTACTTTTGCCATCCTCTCCCTACTTTTGCCCAGTCTAGAACTTTCTGAGACCGTAGAAACCTATTCATAAGTCTGGCGACAATGTACGCCCACTTTGGTGCGTACTCCGCCCACCGATAGGGACTGACTAACTTCAATACTTTGACATCCTTCACAGTTTCAAGAGATGATTTTCTTACCAGCACATGGTCGATTTCCTCCTCCACTGCTGTACATTACCTTTTGAGTATCCCTTTTTACGAACAACGTGCTGCAGACTGCCAGGTCTCATTCTTGTGGCAACCGGCTTGCAGGTGCGTACACGGAGTATGGTCCAGTACCCCTCCTTCGTGTCTATCCTCACAGCCATGATCCGATCGCTGATCCTGTTCACAGCGGAGACATAGTCCTTGAGCGACTCCGCTACCGCTATGGCCACGCTCTCCTGAAGGCATAGGACTTGGATATTCCTGCGCGTCATCAGATCAGCAACCTCTCGGGACTTCCCAGTTAGCGATCCTACGTTCAGAGTCCCAATTCGAACTAGCTTCTTTGGCCGAGGCCGTTCACTCCTCGGTAGCCCTCGCATACTGACCACAGAACTCGGGCGGGGGTTCTGCGCGCCACTTCCGGGTGACGTCCTAGCTTAACACTGATATTTTGCGACTTTCAGACATGACTGGTGTGCTAATAGATCGGAGAGCTCGCAGAATTGGGCTATCACTGTTTGTAATGACCCAACGGCTATATTAACAGCTACAGAGCACAGTCTCCGGTCCACATCGTGTTGTGCTGGCAATCAGGGGCAGTGGAAGGAGGGCTGGAGAGTAGGGGGAGGAGGAACGCTGTTCCCCAACAGTACTAAGATACAATTTAGTATTGACTGTTATTCTAACGTCACGTCATGATTGTGTGAGCCTCTACTACGTACACATGAGACAGCCTCTCCTTCCAAGTGGCGCCAGTTATGGAGGAAATTCGAGGGCGGGGTTCCAGTGTATTGCGTGGTACCAAAAGCACACAACTACTCTATTGATGCTATCGACCACCGGTGACAGGGGATCTTGGTGAACGGGGATCAGCACTGGGTCGTATCCGTTGTGAGGTAGATCGTATTACCAGGATTTCCTTGATACTATCCATATATGTATCTCTATTTATCATGCGTAGGTCGTCAAATAGCCAACCCCCGTGAATGTCATCTCTAAGCATTAGGCACATTGTTCACAGTAAGCATGCTCTATTCTTCGCAAGATTTCATGTACTTCACTCTTTCCGAGAGCGTTTTCCAGAACCATCAGAGTCTTTTTGAAATAAAGAGATTTCGTTTACTGAACGGCAGGGAATGAATTATTCTAAGGGGGTGAAGATCAACCAATTGCGAGTAAGCCAGATGACATGTAAAGGAGCAAGACGAAATGAAAATATTGCGAAAAACCAAGTCAGTACCCACGGAATTCAGTGTACTGTTTGGCATATGAACCATGAGGAATCGACTCGAACAGTTCTATTCTGACAATGTCGACAGAGGTGAATTAATGAAGTTTGAGTGGGAAGTTAGGTCGAGCGCTACGTGAATCGTCTCGGAACGTTTGGAAGGTAATAAAGTGGTAGGGAGAGAGGGCCACAAATTCTTGCCAGCGACTGGCAAGGCGGCCTGCACAGAAATCATTATCGTGATGGGCGTTTGGAATTTTTGCGCTTTTGTCAAAGCTTGAACCTCACAGAAACATCATCTCAGCTGACTTATCACTGCGGTAACGTGATTCGTGTTATCCCAGGGAATCCCTTCCGAAACTGCTTGTTCACGAAAGTAGATATCGTGTAGTGATGTCGAGAAGCGGGTTAGGAGGAACTAATATGAAATGTAACCGGGCGAGCGACAATTGGGGACCAGGCCACGGCAAAACGTTGGGTATTGCTAGATCAGCTTCCCTCCAAAGGCCAACCATTCATCTTGTTAAGTAATCATCTTACTGACGAAAAATACGATTCAGTCGGCAAAAATCAGTTCAATCGGAAACGATCCGCTTACAGGAGCGCTAGCATTACGCTGGAAATTTAACTTCTCGAGGTCAGCTAAGTACTCAATGGAGTATCCAACCGCGAGATTGAGCCTTGAAAAGCAGGATTGAAACTTGGAGGGTAATGAGAGATGCTTGCGCGCCTCTAGTCAAAGCCTAGTTTAAGCCAGTAAGAAGGAGGAAAAAGCTCGCGGCATGTAGACTGACTTACGCCATCTATCCAAGCTGGTATGGATTATTAGGTTAATAGATGTAAGGAATCTACAGGCAATTCTCTCACCCACGCTGTGGATGAGTAGTTGCCGTGTACAAAAATAATAATCTTATAGCACTTCCAAGGAAAATGTCCTCGAGACGATTCATCGAATTTGCCATGACTGTAGTCATGTTCCAGCTGCCTCCTTTACTGATAGAGAATTTTTTTGAGCTAATGCGCGCTAACCACACATATTCCGTTGCCAGATCCAGCTGAAAGAAAAGTCAAAAGAAATGCTAACAGATAAAAGTCACCCAATTAATATTGCCCTCGCAATTCCGAGCTCGGGCATAGTCATGTTCATTTCGAACAACGGGCGGCCCACAGCAACGAACTAGCGTGAGAGTCTGAGCCCTACGCTGGTCGTGCAAAACCTTCGGATGACTCTATCAAAACGAATCATCACCTAGAAAGAGCATAAAGGCACTAAAGAAAGCAGTAAAATCTGTCTCTAAAAGTTGCACACCAATACAGGGGTGGCCAAAAAAAAAGAGACACTTCACTCAACATTCAAAACGGAATTATTTACGCGTCGCGAAACCAAACCAAATGACCCCAACTGAATATTGAAGAGCACGTTATAATCTATCAACAAGCTACACAACAGCCTTCTACACCGACGACATCAGAAGATTTTCCCACGGAAGCATTGTGCGCGGTACGATCTCAACGAGGTCGTTGAGATACCATAGACGATTACGACGTCTCTGAAACGCAGGTCAAAAGCGGTTTTGCACATTCACAGCTAATGTCTCTGGGAAGCTATTCAACAATTAATTCACTGAGGAAATTGTGTATAGCAGCTTCAGGTCGGAGCGATTTCGGTAAGCCTCGTTGAGCTCGACGGTGACGGCAGATGACGTCATATTCTGGAGACGGCAGGGGCAGTGAAGGAGTGCTTGCTTCTGTTTACGGAGGAACAACTAAGGAATATAACGCCATAAAACTTTCATTAACATCGGCTCCCTGTGTGACGAAAAGTTCGATGATGTGCGCCATGGGCTGAGTGTCTCTTTTTTTTTGGCCACCCCTGTATATTCTGCTTTCGCATCGCACGCACGGGCGCAGGTGGGAAAAATACCCTGGCGGAGCCACGGCGCAGTCGCCGAACGAACGCAAGTGTTCACATCGGCATTTGAGCTCTTATTAGGCCGCATTCACAGTTCGCGTCTCTGGAGATTAGAATAGTACCCGACAAGAAAACACACTTAATGTATTGCCGGCCAATTAGATAATAGTAGATAGGAATTAGTAGAGTAGAGTAGGAAGATTAGCGCTGACAGATCGTAACGTGATGGTCTGCAATATATGCCCGGGAGATATAGAAGATTTGCGATAATTACATAGCAGGCAGTAGTATAGAGTAGAGATTAGTACGTAGATTAGGATAGAGCGCTGACAAATTTAGATAGGGGTGGCGTGTTGTTGGGCGTATGCTGGAGTGAGGCTCGATAGGGGTTGTATGGCTTGAGAGGTCCCCAGTCTACCTAAATTCCACGATTTTCTAATCGATACATACAATATGTGTCCAGCGAATACTCTACTCTACACGGGGGTGCCTGATAAAATCGGTCGCCAGTGAATCCAGTTCGCGGATGGGGCCACCTTCGCGAGATTGTGTGTCGTGCCCGTGGTAGCATACATTATATCAAGATAAGGAATTAGGGCTCACGACACGTAATCGACTCATTTAAAGTAGACTTCTGATAAATATTGGTGTAATGGGTGAGAAACCCTGAAACGTTTTCACATTTCCGCCTGCCATGACCCAAGGGAACGGTCCTGGACCAGGAGAAAGGACACCTCCGCAAAGGGCTAAGGGTGCAGGAGCTCCAGGGTGGATCACCTGTGCAGAAAAGT